AACACGAGACTGGTGATAACAATTCGCTAATCTATTACTCACATAAAATAACGGATACCTACAACAGGCTTCGGTCGGGATATAGATACGCTCTCTCTCAGTTACAACAGATATTTATGTAACCAAAGGCGGGGTGTGCACCCTGGGCAACGTATACTCATAAGGCAAAAAAGTCTATTAACCTGTAGTGGATTTCTCACTTCAAACTACCATGACCCAATTGTATGTAACATTCAACTACTGTCTGCCTCTTTTACATCTTTGAAACACTCTTCTGTTTCCCCCTCCCTCTCTTGACTTTTTTCACTTTGATGTTCCTTCCCTCTGTAAAGCCTGAAGTCAACTAAAGGGCTAATGATAACCATCAAAACGCCTGCCATTTGATATAAATAAATATAACTAAAGACTGGGTTAGTTTAGACATACAAAGTGGAAGAGACGACTTATAACAGAAAGGATTCACCAATAATTTATCACACCCAATGATTTCAAAGGCAGAGGGAGCAAAAGAAAAAAATGCGTAGACCGCGAATACGGCTTATATCATGCGTAAATTTTAACTTAAAAATAGGTACGCATAACACAAGCTTCTTGTGAACAATATCATGTAAACACGGAGGAAGATGGAATGTACAGTCTCGAAATGATTCAACCAGTGGGTGCTTGCGGGAGAGGAAGCTAACTAACAATTACATGGGGCGGTTCACGATGTGTTTGTCCTGTCTGCCCTTGATCCAAAATCTGCGGCTGAAACATAATTATTGTGCACCGAAAGGTCACTTTGCAGAGGAGTACTTTTACAAGTATTGGAAAATGAAAGGAGCACGGTCTTGGCCGGTTAACAGAATATCAGAAAAATAGGCGCAGGAATTGCGAGGCAGATAGAATGCGTTAAGAGAAGAGAAGGCAGATATGCCAGTCGCTTGGAACGATGTAGAGTTTAATCAGCATTTTAAATTTTCAGTGCATTCGGAATAATTCTAACACTGCGAAAGGCCCGATCATAGGTGTTCTTGGAATGTCTTCTGGCATGACTGGAGTCAAATGATAGCCCTTCACTATGTCGACCGTTAAGTTGATAATCCTTCTGTGGAATAAAACAAGACCTAGGATTCGTGGCAATAGGAGAGTGATGGCATTTAGCCTTCTGAGTCCACTGCATGGACGCCAGGGGAGGTGACCTGCGTGTAATGGCCGTTTAGAATGTAGTCCCAAATACCTTGAGAACAGACTCAGTTCGTTGCTGATTGTGCACTGGTGAGAGGCTGCATTTGCCCAAGGAAATGATAGTTTAGCCTACATGATTCCGGCTGGGGCATAAACTTATGTCGTCATAAGTTGAATAATAAATGCAATTGTACGTGGTTAGCAAAGAAAAGAACAAATCGTGATAAATTTGTCGGTTAAGCGTCTACATAGGCCAATGAAGAATACTCAGGAACGAGTAACCTAAATCCTTAATAGACTCGAAATGTTGACACTTATTTCTGCATACTCGAAGAACAACTCAATGGAACTTTCAACTAAAAGGGTAGTAATTTTAGATTTTTACAACACCCAACTTCTTCATGATACTATCTTCAAGATTACAGTGAAGAAACAACCATTTTAATCATAATACAAAGACTTGCACCAACGACACTGAAGAGAGCAGCCGACCCCACAATAACAGAAAATGTAGAAGCCACCACCTTAATCACAACATGTTCATTACTGCTGGCAGCAAGAAATTCAATACGCAAACAGGGAGAAGTAGAGAGATGTAAAGAGGAGAGAGAGAGAGAGCAAACATGGACACCGCAGAGGGATTAATAATTAGTATATTAAAATACTACTATGGACCACCGCTATAGAGGAGAACATAAGCAGGTATGTGTATGATTGACAGAGTTCAAAGCTGAGTTGAGAGTGAACATGACGATCGAGAAAACGCGCATACAAGCCAAAATCAGGATAGAGTAGAGAGGCACGAAAAGGCACGAACGGGGAAAAAAGCAGCAGGAGCAGTGTTTGAGAAGGACAGAAAGCAACCAAGGTGGGTCGGAGAGAGATTGCAATATAAGTGGTGGCTGGTTGGTGTACTATAAAAAATATACACGTATACATATCTTCTTCAATGAGGAGAAAGTAGGAAGTAAAATGGGAACAATCAAGCATACAACCAAGAGCACACCTAGAGGGTGAGAAAATTTCGAGGGGGGGGGGATAATAGGGCTGTAATCACTGAGAGAAATTCGATAGCCGATAGATAGATGAAGTGAAATAAAGTTGCGATTTTGTTGAAGAAAGCTGGGGATTCGAGGTCAAGAGAGATTATCATACGCGTCTTAGACAGCGACCGGCTTGGTCTTCTTCCTAAAGGTCGGAAAACGGAAACTTCCCCATTTGCCACCCTTCTTCTTGTCCACCTTGGCTTTGTGCTGAAATATCAAATGTCATTTGATGAGATCAATCACTTCAAATGCTTTATGGGGAAGCTTGAAGATATAATCATATATGTATACCTGTGCTTATCGCCTCAATAACATTGTGAGTTATAAAGTGTTGTTCTGTTATGAAATGCTAGCATAGTGCAAGATAACAGATACGTTGCTACTAGGAAATCGAAAGCAAAGTAAACAAGCTTCTCGAATATTGTCAAAATATACTCATTATTACGAGAAATGAAAGTAGCTATCGTGGCAAGGTGGACGATTTTACCGCTCAAATATCCTTGATGTTTCCTGATCTATATTTGAGCCTATTCATTCTATAAAATGTACTATAAAAACAAATATTTGACATTCTATACGATAGCAGTTCATTTCGCTCCATCATCCCCTACACGTTAATAACAATAGTTATTTCGAATTTATATGTGCTCATACTTTAAATTATGGAAAAGAGAAAAGTTGAGAAATTTAAGTTAAAATATAAAATAAGTTCTATCACTTCAACACGTTGATCGACATTTATTAACATAGGAGATTGATTAAACACCAATCGCGTGGAAATCTCATGAGTATTTAATTTTACTTGAGAAGAATATAATACCATTTGCAGATTACATCATCTATATAGTTTTCAGAAACCGACTTGGGGGGAAATGTATTCCAGAATACTATTGAAAGTATACGTAAGCAGAAAAAAGCAAGACTGACCTCTTCATCGTCTGAAGCTGCTCCATCGACGGCTACCATCGTATTGTAGCTGCGCTCTGAGAAGTTGACTGAAGCAAAAAGGCATTATATAAAGTTACAAAAATATGAAGATATTATCAGAGGGGTTGTGCTAACAAATTACAATTTCGCATAAAGAATGACAATTCCGCTTGACTTCGGTAGGCAAAAATCCTGGAGCTTCCTATGGAAGTATTCGCATTCTGCCGAAATCAAGCCACTACATTAATTTGACCGCACCGGTGAAAAACTATTTCGTGACTACCATGAATGTTTATCTAGCAAGAACGCGATTTGTTAGAAAGTAATATGTGTTGACCTTGGCTAATAGTGTGCTTTCTAGATTTTACTCAACATGTTCCAATTAAGTCAAGTGAAGACACTTTCATACCAATTCGACAAGATAGGCTTTCACAAATCGAAGCCTAACCCAATCGCTAAATGTCGTAATCAAGGCAATAATTTCCTTCGAAGTGATGAAAAAGCTTACAGCAATGAACTTCATCAGAAAAGGCTTCTTTAAAATCTCTAAGTGGCACTCATTTCTCTCGTCATAATTGCCTCACACGAGTCGTTAAAACACGAGATTTTGGCAAATACATTCATTGTATCAAGAACAGGAAATAAAGTAAATAAGCAGTGCGAACAAAATGTGCAGTTAGTTGCCAACATTTGCTATCTTCATATTCCCACTGGTGATCAATGAGGTGATTAGAAAAAGGCGCTAGCAATCCTATAGACAGCTATTTGAATACATATAGTCACCGCAAAAAACCAAAAGCTTACGTAAATAGGAAAAAAAAATGATATTTACGAACTGGTAAGATATCCAAAAAATTCGTACGGAAATTAGTTTGAATCTGTTTATTGACGATTGAATTGAAAAGCATACTTAGAGCAGGTTTATAAGCACAAACTCTAATAAATACACTAAGTAGAGTTCGACGGCTAGTTGGGACTCCAAAACCCATTCTATCGATTTTGAAAAAAACAGAATCAGACAAAATATTTACTGCAGAAACTGAATGCATCTAAGAGACATTCGGATTAATCGTGTGGAAGAGGCGAAACTCACCTAGATTCCTGGCATTGGCGGGGAGGCTGGCACTTTTGCTGGCCAGATCAGATCTTGGGGTGGTGGGAGGTGTACGAGGCTCTTCAATCACTGTCTCCGGATACTGCTTTGAACCTAGTCAAGGGAAAAGTGTAAAATATAACCGACAAACAACAGTGCAACACTCCGACCACGAGCATGTAAACTACTGCAAATCAAAGTTAAATCCATTCCTTACTCATTACAAGTAACAATCTAGACAAAACAAGTATAATTTACTACAAATGGAAAAGTATTTACTGCATGCAATACAACCCTCTCAAAGAGAAGAGACCCAAACAATTTAATATGAAGCACACTAGGGGGTTGCTTAGTTTTGTAGAAATGGTCAAATTGTCGAATAATAAGGTCAAATGAATGTTTGCAAATAATAAAATGGAGCTAAATAAGTAAATAGGAGACAGTGATAGTAAATTATAACCCAGCTTTCAGGAATGAGTTCATTCTCCATAATCGTTAAGTTAGGAAAGCCAGAGCATGCAATTTGAGGAAAACGTATTGATAAAACCACTTTAGTATAAATAGCAATGTCAAGTAAGAAAAAATAAGGAACTCTGGCAGTAAAACTAATAAATGCAGTTAAAATTACTAAATTGAGTCGTATTTGTCAACAAACACGAAGTCGATCTAGATAGATGCATATTTTGAAGTTTTTTCTTGCGTTCTTTTCCGAAGAAGTCAGAACAAAGTACATGCGTGATGAAGGTTTTATTGAAGATAGATTACAAGATGATGAGATAAAAGACAACTATCAAGGTAGCTACGGGGCTGTACCATATCTCTACTGCTGTTACACACATAAATCGGCCAATTTAACATTTTTCTCAATACATCTGCAATGAATAAAAAGAACAAAAAATATACTAAAGTGAAATTTGACTATCACTTAAACAATTATCTACACTTAAACAGCAAAATGCAATGACAAGTATAAGGAGTTTAAGTCTGGTGAAAATAGATTTTTATGAATATTTTCTGCACCCTGAACAAAATCCATGCCTCGAGGGCTGTGTTAATCAGTTATCGTTCAGCATGATTAAGAATAAAATCTTGGCCAAAATTCCAATGCATTAAAAAAGCCACCATATGAAGAAAGCGTGGTATAAAAACGTCAGTATTAAGGAGTATTATACTGGTAAGTTAAGTCAACGTAAAAAGGCATAAAATCTAAAAAATACAGCTAGAAGGAGAACGTAAACCAGATAGGATGAGAGGAAATGATCATTTTGATTTAGTACGACAATCTCAGCAAGCGTCATGATCTAATCCACTCTGCGCAGAGACAATGTATACTCTGCGTTTGGATTGGCAGGATTGAGAAAGTACTTCCATGTTCAATTATTTACGTATCATTCGCATTACCTTTGCATTAGTTAAAAAATAGGGCTTTATCATTGACACTCAAATGCACAAAGAACAACTAAAAACCAAAAAGGATATGTGAACATTTTAAAAATTACACAAATAATAGCTTATCGGATATGGTAAGCGATAGAAAAACAATATTTTGATTAAATTCTTTTCAATTTCTGGTATACCAACCTTGGAAGGAAATTTTAATAAAGAATTAAAATAATATTTTGGCTTATTGGATGTCTGCGAATTTTTAGTTGATTAGCATATTTTACGAAGTATAAACAAACAGGATGGAGCGTGAGAAGTTATAACGACTGCACCAAACGCTGCGAACGAAGTAGACTAGTGTGACAATTAGAAAAGTGCATTCATGCTGAAGAAAAAATAAACTCCAAAACACGAATAAACATGTCAATATCAAGGATAGTCGGCTTCGTATCACCACCACATTGCGGCACTGAAAATATGTGCCGAAACAAAACACAGAATAAAAATCGATCCCTTGATTGGAAGATTTTAATTGAACGTTGTAGATAAGGGGATAATAAGTCGATTAAAGAGTAAAAGCACCATCTAACTAAAACGATTATTACTGCGCAAAATATTTGTGCATTTTTGGTACCAACGGATTATGAAGTTAGTTTACATGACTTCCAGCGTATACGCAAACGCCAGAAGGCGTCTCCCAAGCTGAGTAAAACAATATCCGAGAAAAACAACGGCTTAATGTTAAAACCCAACCATGACACACAAGTTGATTGGGCAAAACCAGGTGATTAGGCGTATAATAACAGCAATGATATGCAAATGACAGTGATCAAGCAACAACATAGAAAGACGACATTATTTGTGCATGCTTGCGTTGAGTGAGAGAGGGTAGAAATCATCCGCAAGGCTTACGACTGAGAGTAGAGAAGGGAGAAGCGGTTTTCTTGCTTTTACGACCCGACTTCTTCTTAGAGGACTTCTTGGAAGACTTGTCCAAAGTGGAAGAGGGGGTAATTTCAACGGGGGGTACCGCAGCAGCAGTGGAGAGCTCTTCCACAGACTCCTCTGCGAGACTGGGCCTGTGAAAGGCGCGACGATGATTGCCAACATTATGTACCATCGGTGTAGATTGAGCCTGCGAAGACAGGTGAGTGGCAAAAGAGGGCTGCTCCTCAACTGTACATTGGGATAACACAACAGCAGCACAACAGAGGTAGAAAGCAAAACATGCAAATTGAGATATGAGGGGCAGAATTATAGCGAAATCAAATACAAGGGGTTGACTGAGAAAAAAAGTGAAAAAGAACATACCGATGCCAGGTTTAGCAAGCCATTGATTGCGTTGAACACCTTTTTCCTTGTTAGAACGGACAGTACTCGCTATTCTGCAATCAATAAAGCAGTCTCATTAAGCAAAGCACATTGTGTTGTATTATCAAAATCAAATTACGAAGCGCAAACGAATTTGCAATTTTTGACCCAATAATACAAGTTGAGAATAAAAATCACCCTGATCAACAATCAAGCGAATTCATGTATCAGATAAGGAATTGGTCAATAGTAGTCGAATGGAAAAGTCCCTTGGCTAATAATAAATACACTTAGAAAGAACAACTCACTCGGAGATTTGCTTAGCTCCGGCCTGAGTGGCGGCAGTGATGTCATCAATGTCACTAGCGTCTGGTCCGGCAGTACAATCAGAAAGGAACCCAGTACCAGCATAGAGGGAGCTATCAGCTCCGGCTAGTTGACCATTTGTCGACCAAGGGACTTCTGCGGGTGGACGACGTAATAAACTGGGATTGCGATAGATGTAGCCTGTTCGGTAGCCCGCACTATCCAGCATTCGCATCTGCGCCTCGAACTCCATCTCACCCACGCCCCAACCCGAAAGATCTGAGATAAGGAGAATGTAGATAAATATATAGTATATATATATAAAGTAGTATAAATAAAAGCATTAATAAAGCGATACGGAAAGGAATATGTTAATTAGATATCAAAGATTCGAACGACAAGAGCCTTAAAACATTAGCGACCTGATTGTGCAACAATCACACAGTAGCCTAACACTGAGGGAGACAATGAATGCTAGAAATGACAGGCGCCTCATAGCGGGAAAGCTTTCCACACTCTAACCAAAACTCCGTTGCCCCACTTACTCTCACTATTTAGTCTTGGTAGGCTTTAGAAATATGTTTTGAATGCTCTTGAACACAAAACCAAATAGATTTGAATATCATGTTAAAAACTGTTAAAAATCTGTTAAAAACTCATCAGAGTTTGAAGTTATTTTCAAGAGCACAACCAGATGTTCAATGATCGAATTTCTTTGCCATAAGTAAAAACACAACAACTGCTGGCATTTCACGACCAATGAAAGGCGGACCTATGGCCCAGATTTAAGGATTTTCATATAAATGACCTATCTACCTGGTGGCTGATAAGTGTATGCAATCAAATTACTGGCAGATTGCCAAATTCCAAATTTGACGATATTACGGTATAAATGCTATGCTTACATTGCACTCTCACAAATCTCAATGAAAAAAATAAAAAGACTATCAAATAATCCGATTCTGAAAGGCTAGTATACTTTTAAAAGTGAAGAAGTAGGTCCGAAACATATTTTCATACATTTGGCGATAGAGCTGTAAAAATGAGAGACCTCCTCTTGCTTTAGATCTGAACAGTGAAAGGGGTTGAAGGCACTGAAAGTTATGCGCCAAGAAATTTATCCAAGTTATGAAAAAAGTAGACTGTAGATATTATTAATATGAAAAAACACCTAAATTCAATAAAAATGCGCAGACAACACTTGTCTTTAATAGAAATAAACCCTTCAGCCGTTTTTAGTAGAAAGTCACAATATATCACCAATCAGTCACTTCCATAATATTAGATGCAGAATGACAAACAATGTCAAAATCTTGAGATCGGTGTAACCACATAGAGTTTCAGATTTAGGCCTTATTCAATAATACAATAAATCAGTCGCGGTTACTAAAATATTCAGCTATTAAAAATTAAACGAATGCAGAACTTTGACCTGTTCAAAAAAGCAAAATTTTATCCAAGAGCAAGAAAACTTAGTAATATTAATAAGCGATTATAAACAATTTTAATACTCCTTTCCGCAATATGAGTAAGATTAAAAGCTGAATATACTTCCGACGAAGTAAGAATTTCATACACACCGGTTAGAGGGAATATAAACCATAGACACTCTCGACAGCAACAAAGGTTCTTGCCATTTACACTTAGCTTTACTTGTGTGCGTACTCCTTGCAATGTGCAAACGCTGCCTGACCCACATAAGAGTATGTACAACAGAAAGGACAGAAAAGCAACATAAGCGCATATGAAAAATTTCACATTACTGCTAATTTGATTTCTATTTCTCCAGGATAAACCGTGAGATAAAAAGAATCAATGAGAGAGAAATTCATTACGCATGTGTAGAATAGACGAAAGGAGAAATATGACTCATTATGTTAGGAAATTAATTTGACTGGTAAGCAAACGATGAAATATTCACTCATCCGCGTCAAACTACGTTGACAGGGAGAAAAAACCATAAAAGTCATGATTACAAATGCGGTTTAAAAGAAGTAAATAATTTATTATGGAATAACAGTGTAGTGAGTCAAAAATCATTCATTTGTAAAAAGCCAAAACTTAATTTTAAAAAAAGTTTCGCATGAGCTATTAAAACACCTGATCTGTAATGTCATAGGCATGTTCAACCCCCCCCCCCCCACCTACTGACTGCAAACAAGCGTAAATAATCAATCAAACTAAGCGCATATGTTTACAAGCCTTTTTGTGGAACACTTGTAAACAAACCCTATGATGATAATGAATGAAATGGTTCTTGAGAGATACACAGCTCCATCATCTTGTATAAACAGAACGAAATTATTTCATTTACTGATTGGAATAAAATGAAAACAGGGCCACTCAATTGACGATTATATGGTCTTGCTCTAAAATCCACCAGCAGATCGTCGTATGCTCCACAAATCCACTATTAAGTTTGGGGTTGCTAGAGGTACGATTCCTCTTTATATTGAACATCAAGTGCATGATTCATTTCCCATCAAACCATGTTTCACAAAGTTGTCTTAGCATTATAAATGCTAATAACAAAGTAACCAGAAAATAACAAATTTCTGACATTCTATTGCGTCATTAGAGCATCATTTCGATCATTGGATGTGCACACGATGTCTTTAAGTATTACCCCAGCGTAATAGTTGATAATGAAAAGGAAACGACTATTGGTCTGATCGAAGTACGTACCAGTGACGCCAGAGCTTGTTGATTTGGCTCCCACACCATTGAGATGATCATCACAATCATTGTTATCATCACAGGCAGTACCATTAGCCTCTGAAGCGAAGGGTACAGAATTTTGTTGTAGTTGGTAGTCATCTCCATTGTTTTCGCTTAAGCGTTCGCCTGTTTCTACCTTCTCACCACCGGTTGGGAAGACAAGCTCACTGAGCAAGTTGGCACTGCAACCCAACTGAAGAAGTCGCATCTGTACACAAAAGAAGACAAATACGCCGAAGTGATAAGCAGTCGGAAAATGATAAATGACAAAATAGATAGACGAAATGCCATCCGAACACGGGATAATTACTAAGCACTTCAATCTAACTACAATATTTGGAAACAATATCGATAAAATCTACTTTCACAATTCAGAGGAAACCGTAAATAAATTTTGAACCTATAACTCGTAAATCTGGTTCCCTTGCTACTTAAAGGATATGGTAAATACCAACAAAAACAGAGTCAATTAGAACAAAAATTGCGAACATTAACAAACACCAAGTATTTACACTTAAACCCAGCCACCAGGTAGGTTAATAGAACAGAACAACTTATCAGCAGCAGGTGCTTATCAACTGAAAAAAACTAGACTTCCGGTGTAGGACTATTGGGACGATTAAATATTTCCCTATGAAACAAATACAAAATTTCGTGACAATTTCCTGTTTTATGAGGACTGACAATACAAGCCAGAATGGAATTTAGAATTCAATATGTTTTGTCAGATTCACAAACAGAAATAAACCGAGTTTCACACCTAAACTATGGAAACAAACCTTTGCAGCAGCCTACGAGAACTCGTAACCTCTAACGGAACTTCGAAGTGCATATTCTATCAAAACTAGTACTAATATATCTCAGGATAAATTGACTATAATAAAATATGATAAATATAAGCCTTTTAGTTTCCGTAATGATATGACTGTTAGGGAGACTCGAACGGCGGCCGTTCGTACATATGGAGTGAGCAAATGAAAACAAGAAATAATCAGCGACCTGGACTAACATGTAAGCTTAAGCATACTAAAGAACCTATTAGATAGTCAACGAGATCGGAAATCAACTTCATTAGAAGCAAAAATAATTCAGTTCTGTAAGTGCGCTAAACTATACTATTTTAAAGCAAATTAATAGGTACTCAATTTAAATTTGCAGCAAATCTATTATCTGAATCTATTCTGAAGCCCTAATGACTGTATTCTCACCACTATCGAATCTCAAGAGCTCTTATATTTTAAGAGGTCCCACAAGTTATTTAATACCTCAAGACATAATGGGCAATCAATATGCACAATCCAAACTCGATTGCTCCATTGCTCTTCCAAATACTAACACAAGCTCAACTTACTACAATCACAATTGTTTAAATTCAAATCAGTCACCAAAATCGAGATAAAAAATCAACCTTTTTGTAAAAAAAGATCAGCAGAGATATTGCAGAGCGCAGATGATAACAAATTAGAAGTACGGAAAAGACAGTTATTGACCTGTGTTTGGCAAGCGCTGATAACACGCTTCATTAAGTACCAGGCCTCGGGTATTGTGGATGCAGCCACAGTGACACCCTTGTTGCGAAGAAAAAGGATCTTGGCGTTGCCTAGATCGTTACGAATGGCGTCAGCCTCAGCTTTGTCCGTCACCATACCGGCGTAGTCGTGATAGCGCACATTGGGTAACAACTCCACGGCCTCTGGGCTCACTGGTAGTAGACCCGATTTGATGCAAGAGACCTAGTAGGGGAAACAAATAGTACATAACAAGTGAATACATGAATATCAAATAACTTTCATTAAACCTCCAAAAAGAACAATAAACACAAATTACTCATTTTACATGGTAAACAATAAATCTCAATCACTAATTCCCGTGAAATTACAACACAATTAATATATGAATTATTTCAAACTTGGTTGTTTGATTGGTTTCAGACTGTTCTGCAAAACAGGAGTCCATGCATCGAAAGCCAGAGAAAATGAATGCTCATACGAAACGCAGACGCATGTGTAACTACACACAGCTACGATAAAAGAATCCGGTATCGAATAGTTCGAGTAAGAACGTGAAGCTCAAAAAATTTAAATCATTTCAATCACACTAGTGGTTTGCCTTCCCAATTCCAATGAATGCGGTTAGACAAAATAATTACTCTCGACGGTTAGATGACTGTGCTAAGTTGCATACATCTTTATACTGGACCACATAATCTTGCATAGACTAGTCAAATAAAGTAAGGAACTTTCCCATGAGTGTCTCGCACCCAAGGCCATGGTGTGAAAAAATTGGGTTAGAGAATTGCTTCGGAGAAAATTAAGGAGTTCTTATAACTCCATTCTTTGAAGTATCAAGCAAAAAAAACAAGAAAAGATTGTCCAAACAGAAAAGGCAAATCAGTAAAGTTGTCGGGAGGTCTTCGGTTTGATTGAGTTGTCACATCTAAAGCAGCTAACAGGGTTGATTATCGTCCCCACAGGTCTAATCCCTCAGCAATAGTGAAATCGGGCAAAAAATAGTGAAATGTGAAGCACCTAACTCCATATGATTGGTCGCAAAAATCAATGCTTTTGAAATATCAACGAGATAACTGAGTCCAGGAGGTAAAAAATAACAGCGATTTTCAGGCCTCATTGTCTTATTATGTGATCTATAAATCCTCACCATATTGAAACATTCGAATTCAGCATTCGAAGTCAATTTTAAAAATTTACGTACAGTTTTCTTCTCATCGTTTCAATATTACAATTTGCTTACACTTATAAAAAGTTATACCATTAACCAATTAGGACTTAACATTCAACTATCCGAATTATGAACAGAATAGAATTTACTAATCGTTTCGCTATTTTTTATAGCTACACCATGCAGTGACTAAGACGCTTACAACTACCCAATCTCAACGTCATTAACCCTCTACCTTTTGGTGTGCCAAAATCGTGCAAAAGCACGCGAGCACAAGACATTAAAGTTTACAAGTAAAAGTGACCTTGAAATAAGTGTCCAATCGGAGAGGCAGTTTTAGTTAAGGAAAAGGATAAATTTGATGCTTAATTGTAAAAGCAAAAAACGTGTATGATGCCAAGAGAAAAATATGATAGCGTTATTGACAGTAGCAGCACAAGAATATTTGGGATAAAACCCATGCAACATTAAAAGCATGATCGGTTTAATCGATATTGGCAACCTAGGAAATATAAATAAGGTAATAATTTTAATGATAATTAAATAAAAACAAAGCGTACACCAGAATACCGCAAGACGATTGAGAATAAAAACAGAAGTATATATTCAAACCATGCAAATTGAAGACCATGTGTTTTAAATTAAAGAACCAAGCGATTTCAAAAAAAACGAGTTTTGTATTTCATTATAGAAAATAATTTTGACTTATTCGATCATTAAAATAGGGAACCATTTGCCTAGAAAATAAAACTAATCAATTTTTAGCCGCACACAACCGAAAATACTGAGACTTTGTGCAGCGAAGTAGTGTCTGAAAACCAGTGTAAAATTAATTTATAGCAGAAAGACTTAAAAACACAAAACGAAGGAATTCCATTGTCTTTTCAGTTCGTTAAACTGTGTTTTCATTCTCACAAGAAAGGTGTTCATTTATAATAGTCAATTTGAACTACCAGAATGACAAATTTCTCAAGCGGCATGGCAAAACCAAAGTCGAAAAGGCCAGTCGGAAGTGTTCAACATGATGCGAATTTATAAGGTCAGAGAATTTCACAACCACTGCGTCGAAGCCCAGTGCAACGAATACATTTTCGGGTGCTGAATAGGAATTATGATGGAAAAAATTGCAGCTCAAAGAAAGGGCATAAAGCTCATACAATTATATACATTAGTAATTTGCACTAAACGATAACTACCTTAGTAGCTTTAACCACAAAATGACAAAAGGGAAATTCTACTTCATGAACAGCGTCTTTAAAGTAAATTAAAGGAAGGATTGAAATTGTTAACTACTTTGAAATTTAACCTGTCTTAATCTTGACCATGCACAGAATGATCGGACAGTTGTTATTATGGAAGCTCTACAGACATATTTGAACTTTAAATCATTGCCATATTTAAACCTACGGCAGTTGTCTGAAAATTTCTGACGATCCAACTGACAAGCGAAGATCGAAACAAAGATGTAGCTCAGGAAGATTATCAAAAAATAATTAGCCATGGGAATCTAGATACTCAGTGAAAATGTGGCTCCAATCAATAAACCTACACTCTTTTGTACTAGTTAGGCGCATAACGTCCAAGAACTAGATAATGAACATGCATTTCGATTTAAATTTGTGCAATTCAGTTACCATAAAGCTAAGAAAAAATGCATTTAAGTTTCCCTATTTCAGCGAGGAATGTTCTTCATACGCTAAAACAGGGAAAATTCAAGCACACCTTTGTGGTAAATCTCACAACTGCAAGTGTAAGATACATAGAGCTTCAATTAAAAATACCAAAACCAATTCATTCACAAGAAAAATGGAGATAAAATTAATTGAGATAGCTTAAGATTAATCTGCCGATGCGAAGTGAATATAGATGTACAAAATATGCCCAATGCATTTGTAACTAATAGGCAAATTAACACCGGAGAAAATTCCATAAATAAACTTCGCAGATTAAAATTTTTCAGCATTCGCTTTCCTTCATGAAATTAAAAACGATTTTTTGTGGTTGTTATTTGCAGGGCATACGACATATCAGGCGAGCAAACTTATGTAAGCTTGTAATGATTTTGGAATTGAAAAAGAAATATTTGGAATTCGAGTCTTATTGTTCACTAGTCAGCGGAAATGAGAGAAAATGCATTAGGCTTTATAGTTAACTTTTCCAACCAATCTCGAGTAGAAATAGGTCACTTACTCTCGATCTACAAGGCGCTGAAAATGACATGCTGAAACGGAAGAGGTCGTCGGACTGAATTCATAAGTAAAAAATAACCGAGAGATTTGACAAAAAATAAGATCGCCGGCAACACAAAGGTTCTATACGATAAAGATGACTTCAGCCTATCACCGTATTCCGATTCTTGAAAATCAAGATAAACCAGCTAACTATATTTGAACGCAGCTTTCTTGAGATAATCAGGAGAGGCAGAGGTGAAAATAAAGTAGAGTATCAGCTTTATTTCAAGTTGGATGGTTAACTTCTCATAACAATTTAGAATGCTAGACAAATGGATTAGGAGAAATCAAGTTGAAATAGTAGAAAAGACTAGAAAGACAGGAAACTGTTGAATTCCATACTGGTCGTCAAATCAATAGGACTGCATAAATCTCCATGATGTTAAGCTTATAAATACTCAAAAATACTAAAGATGGTATTGATGACAGTAATCTCCAATAGGACAAACTTCTTTGAACTCTCCAGATTCGGAACAGATAGTCAAATAAAACCAATGGATATATCGTTAAGATACAGATTTAGAATATTTATAACAGAGAGCGTTTTCCTCTTAATCAACTCAAGTCAACCAATCCAGACCAGGTTTATTGAAACAAGCATACGCCCAAAAGCTAATTTCTCAATCGAAAAGCGACCCTGCATTGTGCTTAAAATTAAACTCACTCGTTAAATACACCTAAAACAGAAATAGAAAGAGAGTAAGACTTACAGCGACAACATCAGGTAGGTTCACGTTAACAACACAGTTGACATCACTGCGAGTACTGTGAACAGCCGAATGCAAATTCCAACTAGCTTTGTTGACGCCCAACACCGTGCTCCCGGGGTCAAGCACGTTACCTTTAAACGAAAAAATAAAAAGATTAAGGAGATGGGGTTTTCACGGATATAAAATATGCTACGTCACAAGCAAACACAAATAGAGTATTCCTCCGGAAGGATTTATCAAGACAAGTATAAGGTATCGAACGATCAATGGAGGTAAATACTAATGCGAGATATAAACTATTTTGATGTTGATTGCTAACGTTTTCATCACCAGTTGAGAACCTAGTCAATAAGTGCGCAAATATGGAAACGACAACATATGTTATATCGTGACATGTTGAAGGCCGAACAACGTCCCAACAACCGCCTATAATCTTCGTTTTCAATAAAGAAGCAAAAGAAAAGAATTGTGTTCAAATCGAACATTTACCGTTTTCATGACAGTCTAACATAATAAATTGATATACAAGTGCGAAAATAGCATTTAAATCCACGTGCATTTAAACTCCCATTTTGCATAAAAACAAATGGTATTTAGAACCATTAATTAAACTGTTAATAAAAAACAGTACAGAACACCCTGAAAGGGCTGAAAAGTAGATAGTGTCCCTTAGTTTTGAAAGTTGTTCAAGTCACAGAAACATGGTTGCTGATAAAAAACCTTCGAAATAATACATTTGACAATAGTGTTACAATTAGCTTCAATTCACTAATGTTAAAATGCTCAAAATATCAGTTTTAAGCATTTGAAACAAGTGTTTTGAGGGCAATTGACATTCATAAAATATCACATTTTTGGACAAACAAATGAACTAGATTAGTTAAAAAGGATGCGTCGGAGACTAAGGCTTAAGCATATTGACATCCAAACTCGGATTGAAGAAACATATGACCATGGTGAACACTTTCAAAACATGCATTGAACGATTGAATGTTTGGTATGTTTTAATTCGCAAATGGCTGTGCTTACTAATTTGAAATAAAAAACATAAAATTAGTTTTGTTTACGTTTATTTTGGCCAGCCAGTCCCATTCTCAAACACTAGTAGCGCACAATATTTTTCATCTTTAGTTGGCAAATTTTAAAACCGAATAAAAGATTGTAAAACAGATATACTAATTCTTAACAAAAAACTGGCAAAAGCCTAAATTGATAAAAATGTAATGTACTTTCTCAAAGTAGTCAAATAAAAGTCGAACCTGAATTTGATAATATACCAACTACACTTTATGATTAATAAAGGAGCAAAATACCAATAATAGTAAAATGAAAAAATTAACATGAATTTAAAGAGGCTCATTTTACTAAACATGGCACATATACACAGCAATGAGACGGTGAAATAAAAATGAGAAAACAATAGATGATTTATAGCCAGAACGAGCGGTGCGTATAATAGCTTGTGCCAATTATTACAACTCAATGGAAATACGCTAGATGCTGTAATATCGGAAAAAACTTACATCGACACTTCGCTCTTACTATTTAACTGGACGACAAAATATAAAAATAGACTTTTGAAGTGAATGATGAGTTCGAATGAAACAATTTTTCTAGCACCAACCATCTGCGATGTGGAACAAGACAAGCGACCATTTAATTCAACGGTCAATCAGATCTACTGACGACAGGAAGCGACTAAAGTCAGAACATTAAAATACCAAAATTAGAATATGCCATAAAATCAAAGTTACTTAAATTGAATATAGGAACATCAGGTAATCATGTACTGAGGCACAACAACAACAATCTTAATTTCACCAATTGACGCGGCAATACTTATGCATAGCCAAATTGTTTATAGAAAAACCAGAAATTTCGTATAAAACAAGATAAATAAAATTGTCACATGGAATATGACTACCATTAAATAATTCCAGGGAAGAACGATTCAAGACATTTGAAAGCACCCTGCAGCAGTTTTTTTTATTACTTACGTTCCAATTAAAAAATAGTTGAGACAATTGCTTTACAGCAAATGAGTAAGTGAAAATTCGGTCATAAACACACACAATGCAAGCAGGTCATGTAAGACAAAAATATTGCCATGTTGAAATTAAGGACATTATTAGCAAAGTAAAATAGCCATCGGTGTGTTAAATGAAGACCTAAAAATGGAGGCATTCGATAATCATTTGAAACTTGACAAGATTCAAGGGAAATATCAATCAAACAGTCACAAAATTTGAGCAGCAGGCATAAAGAAGCCTCAGGAAACATGAAATCCGAAGCACGAAGTAAAATGATCATTTATATTAAAATCCCATAGGATTTTCAACGCACCTTGACTATTTATTTTCACCAAGGTTGAAGCTTGAACCTCGTGGTAAAGAAGTCCGAATGGATTAACAAGAAATTCATCTTCTCCACTCTTGGCCTGAATTAAAATACTTCAGTTAAAAAAGCAAAATGCTTAAGATATACATAAAAAGAAACTTATACATGACACATACAGAAATCTGATTATAAATAGAATTAGTCCAGCCATTTAAGTCGATGAGACGACAAAGTGAAGCCAATTGACAGCGAATAAGCCTTTGATCACGGCTGTATCTGATTGCTTCATCACCACGCAGATCGTTAACTGGGATCGTAGGTGTAGTACCTGGAAAAAAGAATACGACTGACTATATAGGAAACTCGGAACTATGACGTGTTTAATTAGAATTGTTAGACTGCAAAAGATGGTTAAGCAACATCAATAGCAACATACGTATACAGCCGCTACCAACAACGGCAAATAGTTCTAAATAAAATTTTATTACGCGTTGAACAATAAATTAAACTTTCAAAACAATAACAATCGAAATGATCACCTTTAAAGCCATTCATGGATCCGCCTTTAGCATGCAAACTCAGGAGATCTGAAAGTTGTTCCAAAGCTCCACTTGCGTTAAAACCTGCATTAAACCCACTATTTATTTGAGATGCTCCAATAAGATTTGATTGTTTCAATGAAGATTTATGATTTCTATCGGGCACATCACCACAAATACTATTTTCTGTTGTATTTTCAAACATTTCGAAATCGGCAAATAATCAGCACAAAATTATGCTAGACCACTAAGCATTCGTAAGCAGATATAAGGGCGACTTTCGGAATCTGCGGTGACCGGCATATTCTTAATCAATAAAACAAACCAAAATGCACAAATTAATTACATTGTTAATCATGTCTAATAAATATTCCTAATTGTATTAAATATTTTTTGATTGCATCTAAATAGAAAATATCATTATTTTATTTTAAATGGCAGGCAATATAATATTCATCATTAGCCCTTAAACTTTGACTTCATCTTTCCACATTGGTGGGGGTACATATAAAGTAGTTAATCAATAGCGGTTTTTAGCTGTCTTCTTGCTTCCCAGTATCTCTGGGTTTCTGTTGTTGTCTTTAGGCCTGGACACCGAATCAGGTGGGTATTCTCCATTTCCTCCTGAAGGTTACATAGAGGGCATGTGGGTTGAGTGTATACTCCCAATCTGTGAAGGTGTTTTGCCAAGCAATCGTGTCCTGTACGAAGTCTAAACTCATCAACGGCTTCGATTCTTGGACAGTCGGCTATATCGGGGAGTGCCACTGTCCACTGTTTCTTCTTTGTTCGAGCTTTAAGTTCGTTGCACCTTGAGGTCTGGAATTCTCTCCCGATGAAGGCATTCATTGAGTGGAAAGATCTCGGCCGGTCTATGCCTTTCAAAATTGTTGTCCCCTTCGAAGCAAGTGTGTCAGCAAGCTCATAGCCTTTAATACCACAGTGACCAGGAATCCACTGT